AGAGAGAGAGAGAGAGAGAGAGGGAGAGAGAGAGAGAAGAGTTTGCGCTATAATTTTCAGCTTGATCAAATCGATATTAACCAATTCTGTTATTTATTTGGTCATTTGGCTAAAACTTCTACAGACAAACAGTAAACACTTTAGTTGCCACATGAGGAAAGAAGGTGCTGAAAATTCGACACTCATAGTACATACCTAAGACAATAGAGGTAGAGCCAGGCATTGCGTAACTTACGTCACGAACTTGTGCAAATATATAACTGGTAAGAACGTGGGAGGGATAGAATAAAGAAATTAAAACATTGCTAAGAGCTACAAAGTACAGGAAGTTGTCCACGTCTTGAAGAGACAAGGTAGCAACAAGTAGTTTAGCTAACAAGCTTGAGTAAATGGATTATACGACAGGGGGTATATAGCATAAAGAATGAGAAAAGTTGGTAAAAGCTACAGATGATAGGAAGTCGTGGAGAGCCATGATCGTCCGGGTTTTAAACTGATACAGCACCTAGAAGAAGAAGGTTACATTTTGAAAATGAGTCACGTTATTTTTTCTGAAATTTTACTGCTTAATTTTATATATATATATATATATATATATATATATATATATATATATATATATATATATATATATATATTATTGCATCGTTGACAGATAAATATTTTTGTGTAAAACAAATGCCATTTTTCCGGACTTACCGACGTATTTTCGTATATACAAGACTCACATTCAGGACTATCCGTATTTTTTTTTTTTTTACCTCTGAGAGAGTTCATTAGTTTGGTAACTAAAGACATATCTACCAGCGAAAACAACCTTCACCCTGCCAACGATTTCAAAAATCGCATCTCAGTCTAAAATAGAACACCTGGGATTTACCTTTCCGTTCAACCTTCCCGCCTGTAACACATATGCTCTCCTGACAAGTGTTACTCTCGTCTTCCGACCTATTCTTACAATTTTCTAATTTCTCCTTCGCTTCTCGTCTTACGACTAAAGCATGGGATGAGGAGACCTGATGTTGATGAACAGGTATGATAGGTGCGTAGCTAAAAAAAGTCTCTTAGTGATCAACAAGATCGTTTATTTAAGAGTTCGTTGTTAAAAATAATAATAATAATAAAAATACGTGCTAAAAATAGCAATAATAAAACTGGATTCTTTTATTAACTTTATTTGATAGGAGATTAAATATACTTTTAACATGAAAACCTATGCTGTTGAAGATTTGGCTAATTGCCTTAGGATAAAAAATAAGCCCTGAGTCAATTATAACACCTGCATTGTTCTATTTTATTAATGGCATATTTTTTAAAAAATCTAAAAATAAACCTTAAACAGTTTTTTTAAGCTTATTAACATAACAAGTGATGTAATAGTTACCAAGATTCTCTTGCTAGAACAAACTGAGTAGTGAGTACGATCCTCACTGTGTGTCCCATACTTTCCGCCTTGCGCCACATCTAAGCTATACTTGGAAAATCACTATGGTTAGCATGATTGTCTCGCTAGAACAATTACGAACAATTACGATTGAGTAGTAAGTTCGATTCTCACTGGGTGCCTTATACTTTCGGCTTACCTTTACAACTCACCATGTGCATGAAATAACTCAGATTAAACCAAAAAGGTTTTATTACAATAGCATCTTTTGATATTTTTTAAGCATTTCACCCCAAACAAGGCTGGAATGCCACTACCCCGCAAAGATTTACACAGAGTGAGAGCAAGAGTAAACAGGGGTGTTTGAGGAAAGAATAAAGAAAAGTACGGGGATCAAGCTGAAGGCATCAAAAGATGTCGATTGACATTACATTTGAATATTTGACGATTATAGCTATCAGGGAAGCAAGTAAGAGGATAGGAGTTCCATTGTTGGGAAGTGCAAAAGAAGAAGCTGTTGGAGTAGAAGAGGCAGTTACATATAGGAAGAGTTTTATTACATAGCATTGCAGCACTTTTCTGCTTTTCTAACCTAAACTTCTTTAATACTTTGTTTTGCTTTTGGGATATGACTTTTATTATTCCAAATCGACTTCGGCTTTCGGTGCCATATTTTTCGTCCTCTGTTGAAAATAAATATTATCAGATATTAAAATGTATTTGATTTTGACGTCCCTAACTCACTTGGTGCCTCATAGCTTCGGCATTTTTTAAGAATTTCACCCCAAGCAAAGCTGAAGTGCCACTAGCATGCAAGGGGTTACACAGAGTGGGAGCATGTGTAAAGAGGGGTGTGTGAGGAAAGGATAAAGAAAAGGACAGGCATCAAGTTCAAGGCATCAGAAGATGTCGATCGACATTACATTTAAATATTTGAAAATTACAGCTATCAGGGAATCAATAAGAGGAAAGGAAGTCGGGAAGTGCGGGAGCAGAAGATGTTGGAGTAGAAAAGATAGCTACATTTAAATGTTTTAACAGTGAGAGGGTGAGACCGAGATGCCAATCTAGTAGCACGCTTAAATTCATGCAGTTGGAGAACCAGTGAAAACAGATGCAGCTGCCACGAAATTATTTGTAGAAAAGACAGAGGGAAGCCACATGACATCTGTGAGAAAGTGACTGTAGTTGAGATCCTAGGTACAATTTGTAATTCGAACGTTGGACTGTTTGTTTTGCTGAGAAACATACATTCAGCCTTCTTACAATTAGTCCTTTCTTCTCATTTTCCTTTACCACATTCTGTTGGAGTGTCTTTAGTTTACATCCTGTGTCTACTATCAACACTGTGCATACCATATACTGTTAAGATTATGGTCGCCGATAATGAATCCTGGTAAAAATTCTCTCAGAGTAGCCTCACTGTAAATGTTGAATAAGTCCGGCGAGAAGACCCAACCTTGTCTTGCGTCCTTTTCTATTTTTCTACATTTACCGAATTCATTTTCTAGTCGTCTTTTTACAAATGATGCTTAGTTCTTTCTTCTCACTTACCTTTACTCCCTTCTGCAGGTGCTCCTGTAGTTTCATTTTCTTTATATGTTATTTTGTTTAAGATTGTGGTTGGCATTTATTAATTAGGATGGCTTTGAAACAACTGAAATGTGTTTCTATAGAAAGAGGATGAGAATATCAACTGAACACGTGAGAAATAACAAGGGAAATCTGAAGCAAAAAGGACACTTATACTTAACACCAGAAAGAGGCAATTAAAATTCCTCGAGAACATAATGAGAAAAGAAGGCTTGGAAAATTTGATATTCTCAGGGCTGATTGAAAGGAAGAAAAACAAAGGCGAGCAGTGCATAATCTGCCTAACGAACATGCGCAAACGGTTGGCAAAACAGAGATTAGGAGAGATAGGGAAAAGACAAAATTTACTGAGGTACAAAGTGCAGAAAATTGTAAAGAGCCATGATCACTTTTGCCCTGAAGCGACACGTCACATAGGATTAGAAATATTTGATGTAATTGGCTCCGCATTTCTTAACAAACTTTTAGTCCTGTGATGGATTCGAAGATCTAATATAATTTCCCTTGTATTTTGCAAACAGCATTTCAAATTTTCAAGATTTATTCGTGTTTTTTCCCCTCCGATGTCTCTGTCAATTAAGGACAAGGAGGTTCTGCTTTTAGGTATAATATTTGTGAGAATCACAAGCAGACGGATCTAAATAAAAGACTGTTTCTAACACGCGGGCTTCTCAGTTGAAAGAAAGTTTGAAAAACCGTATGTCAATTGGCCTGTATTTGAACAAGCTAAAATGGGCTTTCTTTTGTTCTATCAGTTTGACTTCATCAAAAACCACCCAACCAGGGGAAAGTGAAAGTTGGGTTTAAAATTCGAAAGATGAGTTTTCTTCCTAAAAAGGCGCTAACTCACGTCTACAAAAGTCGAGACATTTGACCAACTAGAACGTTTTTCTACACAAAGGTACGCATGTGGTGTTTTAGTTTGTTCTTTTTTTTTTTTTTTTTGTTTAACGGCACATCAACTCTTCATGGGTCATTTAATGCCGAAATTTAATTTTCTTAGGAATTTTGATTTGATTTGATTGTCTAATGGCACATTAACTCCTCATGGGTCATTTAATGTCGAAATTCAATTTTCTTGTTAACTTTGATGTGATTTGTGGTTTAACGGCACATTAACTCTTCATGGGTCATTTAATGTCGAAATTCAATTTTCTTGGTAACTTTGATTTGATTTGTGGTTTAACGGCACATTAACTCTTCATGGGTCATTTAATGTCGAAATTCAATTTTCTTGGTAACTTTGATTTGATTTGTGGTTTAACGGCACATTAACTCCTCATGGGTCATTTAATGTCGAAATTCAGTTTTCTTGGTAACTCTGATTTGATTTGTGGTTTAACGGCACATTAACTCCTCATGGGTCATTTAATGTCGAAATTCAATTTTCTTGGTAACTTTGATTTGATTTGTGGTTTAACGACATCTTACAAAAATCTGCTGCTAATAATTTTTTTTTTTGTTTTCTTTTACAAAATTTTGTTGTTGGTAATTTATTTAACTACTTTTTAAACCTACATTTTCAGCTTTTTGATACTAATTTTGGTGTTCCCTATTTGACCATAAATGGATCCCTAACAAGTGCTACCACCCCGGTTCAGTGTGGGCCTGGGAGCAACAGCAATTAAGCGGTGGTTCCACGCTTCTAAAAACCATCAGATCGGAAATCATGCTGCTGGATGTAGTTTATTGTCATACCCAGGACGAAGGCTGGTTTTGAATTTATTTACTGAATCTGTTACTTTTTAAGACTTATCCTAATTGAATGCTTAACTAATTTATTTTTTACGGCTAATCAACCATTTTCAGGTTATTTAAAAACCAGAAAATATTATATTGTAAAATTTGTTCAGATAATAATGGATTAGTCTTGCTAATTAACCCATATCTGGGGGTGTAATATGAAATTGTGCCTTTTCTCAGGGCATTATGAAGCGAATATAATATTATAAAGCCAACTCGAATTGGAACTCAGCTCTCCTATTAACAATTCCGATCCCTTATACTACCCGCACATCCAGGCTTGGTATTCGCAAGCGATCACTCCTCTAGGTACTGACCAGACTCAAAGTTGCTTAACTTCGGTGATTGTATGGGAACCGCTGGTTCAACCTTATGTGACCGCGGACAAACTTATACAACTTTAAAAAACGTAACATAATTAATTATCTCTACCAAAATACTAGAATTCCACGTTTAGTTGAACTCTATACTTGTAATATTTTCGCCTACACTTTGAGATTTTTTTTCTCATTAGCCTTAAATAGGTTCGCCCATCGCCCGGTTCACACTCCTTATTCTTTTTTTGAACATGAGTAGAGTCTTAACTCTTGTTTTCTGTTTAGGATGAAGATTCTGTTAAAAATACAAGAACAAACCTATGCAAAGATCACAGTAACTTTCTTTTTAATTGCTTGAAATGCGGGAAAAAACATTTGGAGAAGTGTCAGATGGATCATAAATTGTTTTTTAACGAAAATAAAATAAAAGCTATTTTTGCAGATTAGAATTTTTTAATCTTACGAATTATTTTTTTTTTTAATATTGGCCATTTAATTCGATTTTTTTTTTTCAAAATAAACTTTGAGGTTTTACATTTATGTCCTATAAAAAACAGAAAGAGTACGTAAGACAAAATACAACATTAGAATTAATTGCTAAATTCCATGTCTGTAATATTTGAAATGAGATGTTTGAAAACATGTTCATGACGTGACAATGCTCATCAATACAAACAGAGAGATTTTGGCTTTTTTTTTTTTTTTGTTCTGTTTAATTGAGTTCACTCCAAGCGTTTAATGGGTGTGGAAGAATAAAAAAAAAAAAAAAAAAAAAAAAACTAAAACAGAAGCATTACTAAGGAGCGAGATTAATCAGGACATTGCATTTAAATGTTTGTAGCTTAAAGCGTGGAGGCAGAAGGGAGTTCGACAAGCGAGAAAAGAACCTGTCAGAATAGAATTTACAGTTACATCTCAGCCAAATCAACTGTAAATTGATGAGACCTCGTCGCCTTTCTAATACTACGCTTACATTCATAAAGTCTAGGCACCATAGCGAAGAGTGATATTTATTCTGCTATGTACAGAAATGTGGCACAAGGCCGAAAGGGGAAATGTGAGAAAAGGACGGCCTTCATCTGTCTTAAATATAAACTTAGCTAGCCACTGACCGAAACATACAACACTATTCTTTACACCAAAACAAAACATTCTTACTTACCTTTCTTACTACATCACCATATAATACCTCATTGTCTCCATGAAAGACCTAACTAAAACCCATATGTACAATTCATTGTCTGTGGTCATGGAGGATAAAACAACATTTTAAAAATTAGCCCTAATGAGTATTTACACATATGAAAACAAATCTATTTACAAGAAACTAAATAATGTTAGTAATAACCCCCCTCCTTACATTTGACAGAAACATTTGGTTAACGGCACGAAATCAATGCGTGACTATAATAATATAAAACATTCATTCACCTCATGCACTCACACAGACACGCAAAAAGAAAGGCACCCCGCATCCACCAGAGAACTGACATCACTGACAACCTAACGAGTGAATGGATGGAGAATTAAACCAAAGTAAAACTGGGGACAGAAATAAAAGGGGCCAATGAGCATATATCCTCTAGGTAAGCTAACTGGAATGAAGAAACTAAAGATTCAAAAACAAACCTAAACTAGCCTAACTTCGGTCGGTGGGATACCATAGGTGACAACAATATTTGAAACATGGACGAATGGTAGACTTATTGATATGTAAGATAGAGAAAAGACAATTTTTGCTGAAAACTACAAAATATTTTGCCTCGCACGACACAGTGAATCAACTTTCTTAGCACTGGATTTAATAAAAGACGTATTGAGAAAGTACAATTATTGAAATATGATATTGTAGTATCTTTAGTTGATGGCACGTTGGAGTAATGGATAGCGGCTTGGATTGAGGAATCGGAGAGCTGAGTTCGAATTCCAGTCGAATCCATTACATTCACTTACGTGCTAACACCATTGGGAATCCACTTTCTTCTCCCTCCAGCTATGGGTAAATAGCAGGACAGACTGGGTTCTATAGCCTTGGATAGCAACTGGTCTAGGAGAAGGAAAACTCTGAATTCAAACCTTGCTCTTAGAGGAGGGTGAATGGAGTCTCTCTGAGCCTTGGTTGGCAATCCATTAGTGTTGGTGTCACGATAAAAACACCCTTGATAGCCCTAGCGAAGCATCAAGAATTCAGCTATTTGATAAGATTATGAACTACACCAATCAAAGTAATGGTGAGTTCGATCTCGGCTGAGGCTGAAAGATGATGAATTGATGGCAAATATATATTTTTCATTTGAAAACCTGTGTTTTTGCCAACATAACTGTCTGTGGTGAAAAATATATCTTCTCTAACGTTCTGTTGTAAAAAGGACATTTAAAAGAAATGAAACAAAAAATAAAATATCGTTGAAATATCGATATAGTTTCTCCCTGGAAGAATCGTGATGCTTGAAGATACAAACATTTGTTATCGATTTTTTCATTATTAATATATTTTATTATATTGTGTTTGTTTTATCACGACTTATGTAACCAAAAGCCAGCAAATTAACTTGATTTAACTTGACTAATTTGTAGATTTGGAAGATGGACTCAGACGAGAAAAACCTGGCGACACCAAATTTTCTTGCGGCAGATGAAGCTATTTATTCAATATAGTTGTTCAACCACAGGTCAGTGAAAAACGTGAAACGAAGAAGGCGTAGAGAGACGCTCTCGTGGAGTTGCCATTCTGATAGGAGGCAGGGAGGTTTCTCTATGGCGAGTAAATGAGAGCAGTTTCGTTTTGGAGGCATTAAAATTTACAAACCATTTCCTGTCCCAGTCCATCATAGATTGAAGGTCTTTTCGAGACCGACGGCCAGGTTAACTTCGTCAGCAATGTCGGATTTACTATTGAGACAGGATTAAATGTTAGTGTCGTCTGCGTAGTTGCCTACTTAAGAACAGATGTCATCAGAAAGATCATTGATGAAGATCAGAAACCGTGTAGAAAAACTTGAGAATGAACCCATACTTGAAGATAGAAAACGCTTACAATGTTCTCAGATTAATGCGCTGATTTTTTATGATGACGTTCACCAAGTACAAGGCCCGAGATCTACTCGAAGTAGATGTTTATAGAATTAAGAGGCACAGTTTATGCAGATATAAGTGGGAGGTAACGATTAGCCCTGTCTTGAAAAGTTTAAAATTAGAGTGATCGAGGAAATATCCTCTTTGGAGTCGATTTTACAAAGTAGCGGTTAGTGGGAAGAAGCTGAAGTTGAAGTTATGTCTTATCAATGGAATACGAAGGGAATAAGGGTGATTCGCTACAATGGGCGTGGCATGGAGGGTTAATACCCGCCATGAAGTTAAGAACTAGTGGAACTAAGGAATGTACTACGTCTGAAGACTCTCCATGGAAATAGCAACCGAGCATCGAAAGGCTTGCGACTTTTCGTCAGTGAGAAACGCGTTGTAGTGTGGAAAATAAGCTGCCAATCAGAAGGACGCGGGGGCGTTTTTAGATTATATTGAGGCTGGAAAGTGAAGACTGGCCAGCTTTTAGCCATATATTCTTGGTCAAATCTGCCACTAAAGGTAAATGGTAGCAGGAAAGGCACAGAGAACCGACTCTTTTTCGAGCATGTTTATTGATATCTGCGTCTGGGTCGAGTTTAAGTTTAAGGCACGGGACCTACCTGAGGGAACATCTCTTCATCACGATTGGTGAAAGTTCGGGGTCTGATCGTCGATGACGGAATGTCATTAGAATTCGAAATAACCACTAAGTAAACAAAACATTCACAAATTACAAATTCAGTACCTAATGCACCAAAAAGTGATCAGCTTACGGCCACATCACCGAAGTTAAGCAACGTCGAGCCTGGTCAATACCTAGATTGCTGACCGCTTGGGAATACCAGGTAAGTTTGGGTGTACGGGTGGTGTAATGTATATTGTCTCGAGATTGTTAATCGCGGAGCCGAGTTCCAGTTGGCTTCGTTATAATCATTTACGCGCAAATACCCTTGGAAAAGGTATGAATGCATCTCTCCCCATCTATGGGTTAATTAGTAAAGCTTCTCTTACTAAAATCATTATTATCTAAAAAAAAAAATAAAACTGTGTACAAAATATTTAAATTTTGGTATTAATAAAACATAGAGGTTGATAACTATATGGAACCAACCAATCAATCAAAAAATGATCGATCCATCAATGTCACTCCCGCGCTGATTTTAGATCAATGAGCTCTATATTATTGAGGGACAGAATCTTAAAGACATAAGATACGTAGATGACACAATATTGATAGCTGGCTTAAAAAGAAGAATTCCGGAATTTCGAAGAAGGTGAAAGGAAAGAGAGATAAAAAGACTAATGTTTGGTTGTTATGAAGCTTTGACAGGTCAAATGTGGAAACATCAGAAAATTAACACTTAGAAATCAGAAATTTAATTATCTGAGAAATGTTTTACAGACAATAGAAAAGGTGGCACCGAAATTCGAAGCTGAATTAAAAGAGTGAAAGATTACAATTCAAAAATTAAAAATTAAAATATTATGAAACAGGAAAATGGTGTTGAAAGTAAACAAAAGTGTGTTTAAATATTTAATATCAATCCTCCGATCGTATGCGTCCGGTTATTTAGAGGCCTGCTTTATCAAAATTCAGTTTTTGGTGGTGATTAATAATGCTACATAAATGCAGTGATGTTTCGATGTGTATCATCGCATCTCATCAAGCGTTAGCAAATGACTGATTATTACAATTATCAGAACTAAACGACATAAGATAAGCAGATAACACTATGTTGATCGCAGACATACAAAGAAACGCGATTGTATTTAATTTTATCCTAATAATTGTAATAATCAGTTATTTATTAAAGACTGAGGAGATGCGTTGATACACATCGAAACATGACTGCATATATGTAGCGTTGTTTCTACATCTTTGAATGTAATATCCTATAACAGAATATATATATATATATATATATATATATATATATATGAATGAACAATGTATTCTTAAGATATTTATAGGATTAAGTGCTCAATAGCAGAGATAGAG